GATTTTATGCAGTGAGACCCTGTAGACCCTGTAAACCCTGCCCTAAAAATACAATAAATAAATAAAGATGATAAACTTCTGCATCTGATTTATTTCAGTTACCTTTATGGTCTTGAAGTACATCCATTTACACATAAGTGGCTCAAGTTTATCCTTCTTTATAGCACAGTAGTACTCTACCAGGTATAAATACCACATTCTCTTTATCAAATCATCTGTTGATTTGGATAAAGAAAACCATATGGATAAAGGAAATACATACATATATATGAATGATAACATATATACAGTTTTTGAAATCTAACTGTTATGAACTTGCTGCTACTATAAACACAGGTACAAATTTGTTTATTATTTCTTGAGTCACTGGGGTTTTGTTCAGAAAGTCCTTGTGTATGGCTCTATCTTCATGAATTTAATCTTCTGCACCATGATATCTAACTTTCCTAGCACCATTTATTAAATAGGCTATCTTTCCCCTATAATATGTTTTTGGGCACTTTGTCAAAGATCAAAGAGCGTAGTGCGTAGTATGTATAGTTTTTGGTGCTTTTCTTGTTTCCTTTGTCTTTGTAAATATGGAGGACCCTTGAGCATTAAATGTGGCAAGGAGCCACTAGCAAGTTAAGGGCTTAAAGACACAATAAGGATGCACATGCAGGAGGGGGTGCTGAAGGCTGCTGAGGGGGACTAAATATTCCCATTCTCCTATAGAGAATGGGGAAGCTGACCAGGGAAACAGGAAAAACATCAACCAGCAATGATGATCCCGCTGAAATGGGCAATCATACTATGCTGAGTGGTGACACCCAAAGTTCACATCCACAGCAACTTTAGAACATAAACTTATTTGGAAATAGGTTGTTTGTAGAAGAGCATAATGTGTCTGAGGTTCTCCTTCCTCTATTCTGTACCAGTGACCCACGTGTCTGTTTTTGTGCCAGTATTACCATGTTTTTATCACTGTTAATTATTACTTCAAATCTGGATTTTGATACCTCTCAATTTGCTACCTCTCACTACTGCTATCCAGAATTGCTTTTGCTATACTGAATCTCTTCTGGTTCCATATAAATTTTTGGATTGTTTTCCCTAGATCTGTGACAAATGTTGGTATTTGGATTGAGACTGTGTTAAATCTATATGTCAGTCTTGGAAGCATGGCCATTTTGGCTACTGATTCTTCTTATTCAGGAACATGGGCTGTCTTTCCATTTTAATGTCTTCAATCTCTTTGTTCAAAGTGATGCAATTTTCATTGTAGGTTACCTTCACTTCCCTGGTGAGGTTAATTCTTAAATATTTAATTTTTCTTGGGGCCAGGGAAATGGCTCAGTAGAATAAGTACTTATCTGGCAAGTGTAAGGCTCTGAGTTCAATCCCCAGTTCCACCAAAAAAATAAATAAAAATAAATAAATAT